TAAAAAAAAAAAAAAAAAAAAAATCGAGCAGAGCCATTTGGCTCGGCTCGGCTCACGGCTTGTGTAGATGTTTTGATGGATTGATATCATGTTTATAATATTAATTTGAATGCTAGATTACTATTACATGGCTTATTTTATTTTTGGAGGTTCGAAATAAGTTTCGCACATCGTGATAATCAACATAAGGTCCAATAAACGTTATGAATAATTATTTATACCTCATGAAATCATAATAGGTAATCTTGTGAATTAATGATTTTAAGTATTCAAGGATATGATATTTCAAGTTTTATTTAGAAATGTTTAACTTTGCTTAGGAGATGTTGTTGAAGAGAATAAGACTATTGATTGTCAATCTATACCAAATTAGATTAAATAGACGCTGAAAATTATGACAGGAGATTAATTGTGGATTCAAATTCCCAACACACTTTTATGACATAAAACTTTTTCAAAAGGATAATTCTACTTGTACATCATGCCATCCATAATGGATAACATAATGTACAGGTGGAATTATCCTATTGGAGGGTGTGCTATACTGCCACTTGTACATTATGTCATCCATTATGGATGTCATGATGTACAAGTAGCACAACCCTTTTCAAAATATCTTTACGTCCATTTAGTTAAAAAAATTAGTATAAACATTGGTAGTTAATATAATAAAACACTCAACTCGGCAAATATTTTTGCCACCTTAGTATTTGATCACGAATTGATACAATTAAAATTGAAGTCTATCATTCGTGGGAACGATACTCTACACTCACGTAAAAAATATTATTTGTTAATGATCTTATACAATTGTGGAATTTCACCGAACTTTTTTTTTATTAATTTTATCTAGAACACTAATTTCTTCTCTACTCAGTGGGTTTAGATTTCGATTTTTTTGTGTAGAGTGGAATAGAGTTTGTGCGTGAAGGGGACGGAGGGAACTAAGCTAACATTTAAGTATTGTTAATCACTATTGTGCCCTTCCTCGATTGAGGAAAGGAAAGGATCTCATCTCAGGGATATATTGTGATTTAAGATTTAAAAAAATAAATTTGAAATTCAATCGTTTTTAATTACCTCGAAAATAAAAGTTAATTGAGAACATAACTTATGCGTTATATACGTGAAAGTTCGAGGATGGTGACATTAATTTCCCAAGTCCTTCCCCTGTTATTTGCCACAGTCAACTCGATATAAAGAAAAAGGAACTCAGGGAAGGAAGAGAGACATTTTAACTTGGTGGAGCGCGCTCGATTTGAGCTTTTTCGTCTTCTTTCGAACTTCTCAACCTCCCTTTTCTCTAGGGTTCTAAAACCCAATTCACCAATCAATTTTCTCCTTTTTTTATTTTTCTGCTCCCTGTAGTTTTAACAAAGTAAATTAGTTGGATTTGCTTTTCTTCTCTAATCACACCATAATCAATGGTGCCAACAGTTAACCGGGAGACACCTACTAGTTGTGGGACTACTGGAGGCTGCAATGAAGCAGCAGGCACGGGGAATTCCGGGGTAACCGAAGAACGCAGAGTGCTTCGCTCCAAATACCTCACCGTTAAGAATCGGATTAGCAGTAATTTAGTTTCAATACACTTTCTCACTCTTTGTAATTTTAACTTATTTCTAGTATAAGTTTATTATTTTGCATATTTTAATGAATGTAATTTTTGCTTTTTTAATTTTCAAAATTAATTCATTTCTATCAATTGTATTCAAGTGAGTAACAAATCGCTGATTGGAGAACTTAATTTTGATTAAAGTATGTTTATGTTCTTAGCAATGGTCTTGATTTTGTGTAGAGATTAGGCAGTGGCCTTTTTTTTTTTTGGGTATTTGACATGCAAGAACTCCATTATCAAGTAAATGTTTAATTATTTTTTATTACTACATAGTTGCCAAGAATTTGATGAGTATTTGGAGAAGTATAACTTGTAGTTGAGGGTGTATACTATAGAATTAGGAATATGGAGTTAATTACATTTGCATACTTCTGCTTCTGCTTCTGCTTCTGCCTTTATCTTTATCTTTTTTTTTTTTTTTTTTTTGAATTTTAATTGTTTTGTGAGTTGTTAATTAGAATGTTTAATTTGAATAGATATGTTATTAATCTTATACTTTTTTTTCTGCAGATGAGAGAGATGATATTTCAAAGGTTGACTCAGATAAGTTCAAATCAATAATTGAAGAAGTTGATGGCTTGCAACAGCTTGGTATAATATACAAGACCTTGATTTGATGCAATTTTAGTTTAGTTTCAACTTTTTTAGTCCTTTATAAATTTCTGCTATATTCAAGAATGTTAAGTGCAATGTTGTTTATTATGGATTGGTCACTCTGTCTTGAGAAGAAATAGTTTCGAATGCTTTAATACTTGTTACCTAGAAGTAAGCCTGTTCCTCTTTTAATAAGTTCTTACCTTGTCTGTTGAAAAATAAATTTAGTTATTTTGATTTTGTATAGAAGTTTTAACTTGAATACATTTATTTTCTTTCCTTTTTTTTCCCAGTAACAAAACCCAGGGAACAAGTTGCAGATGTGGAAGCCCTGTTTGACATTGCTAACACCTTGGTAACATCTGTTATAGAATATTGCAATGAAGGCATGACTCCTTCAGATTTCGTTAGTAGTCTGATTAGGGATTTTGGAGAACAAGGTGGACCAAATAGTTGATGCAACTTCATTACAATGGAAAGAAATTGGCCTAGCAGTCTCTCATGTTTTCAGGGGTGCTTCTGGTATTTGTACAACGTAAATAACAACCATGTCCATCTTATTCTGTTTTTAATTTTAATTTTTTTTTTTTTGCTTAAAATGTTGAATATATAGTATTTCCGTGTGTTTATAACAGGATTGGGCCTATGAATACCGAAGTGAAGCCATGTAAGCAAGTTACTCGTAAAAAGCGTGGAAGGCCAACTCAAAGCTCTCTGCCTGAAGAGGTCAAAATTTCATGCTATTTTTTCTGTGAGCTTATTGTAATAATTTTTAATAATCTTTAGAATCGGTTGTTGAGTGGTTGATTGTGAACAAAGACAAACTGGTCCGTTGCCTCTACCAGATAACAATATGTATAATGATTTTTCAATCTAAATGGTTAGGAAAATAAATTCTGCAGAGACCAATTATTACATGAACTAAAGGCCTGCTATATTAGTACAAAACACCTCTTGCATTTGCCTGTTTTCCTCTATGCACATTCTTGTTCCTTTTATTCCATATGCTAGTTAAGAGGGTAGAGCAATAGATGGTGTCTGTTAGTTTACTGAAGATTACTTACTTTCCCTTTATTTCTTCCTCCCACAAAATTAAACTGACATTTTTTTTTAACATTCTGCAGCTTGATGAATCTGCTACAGAGGGAAAAACAGACACTGATAAAAATATGGCCACAGTGTTTAATATTCTAAGGAAAAATAGGAAGGTCAATCTTCAAACTTTAATATTAAACAGGAATTCCTTTGCACAAACTGTGGAAAATTTGTTTGCCCTCTCCTTTCTCATTAAAGATGGGCGGGCTGAAATAACAGTGGGGGAAAAAGGCTGTCATCTAGTTTGTAAGACACTTCTTGCACAATCTATGTAGTAAATTCTCCTTTTCTTTGTTGTATATGTTTCCTTTTGACTCGACTAATTCTTTCTTTCAGCCCCAAAGAATGCCCCTGGTGCCAATGCCATTCTATCTGGAGAAGTCTCTTACAGCCATTTTTCTTTCAGATTTGACTTTGGAGATTGGAAGGTACTTTGAAATGCTACATGAAGCTTTTGTCACCAACCATTCTAGCGTCGCTTGTTACATTCTATAATTTTTTGAAATATGAGCTTTGACAAGTGAGCCTCTAGACTTTTTAGTAACCATGAATATTGTCGTTCACATTGAATGCAAATATTAAGATATCTTAGCCACTATTTGACAACCATTATTTAGATAAAATGGAGTTTTGATTAGCGATTTTCTGGAGAATGTGTGGTTGATAGGAAATTTTGGGTTTACGTGTAGAATATTTTATAGTGTAAATGTGTGGTTGAAAATGAGTGAGTGGAAAAAAGAGTTTTGAAATAATAGTTGTCAAAAAGGGGCTTACTGTGAACTAATTGTCTTTAGGCATGCATTGTAAATTGATTATTTTACAGGAGAAAGGTCCAATTTCTTCCCCTAATTATGTTGTACATAAATTAATCCATCATCAAGCTGTCGATAATCAGAAAGATGTGCTTATTTTTATACCTTCAAGGTTTCTTTTTATGTCTATATGTCGCATCAGATCTGATATTTCCTTTGCTTCATGGCTCATACCCTAAATTTTGATATTTGGTACTACAAAATTTTAATTTCTTACAAGCTTCTTGTTGTTCTCGACTTATAGTTAATGTTGGCTTCCATTGAGGATGGCGAGGAACTAATGCCACACAGGGACAAGGTGAACGTGCAACCAAATTCAGATTCTGTAGAAGCTCAAGCAATAAATCCTACAACACCCATAAAGAAATTGTCCAGGAACTGAGGTTTGGTTAGGCATGAGCAGATGGTAGTCGAAGACTCTCCTGAAAATCGAGATTCAGATGCTTCTCAGCTTGTATTTCGGAAGGGTAAGAGAAAGCTTCTATGAGACAGGCACACTTTTGTCGGAGCTCATATCAGCTGTAGGTCGAGAGAATACAACTGACATTTTTGTAATTTATAGTTTTCAACTAGGTTTCCTAAACCGATAGCTCTTTGGTTGAAGAATTAATTTGAGTTGTGGCCGAATTATACATTGTTAGGATCTTCAATTTTTTATTTTTGTACATATTTTGACGATAGCTCTTTCAATGTGCAATATTCTTGTTTCTGTCGGTTGAATTTGCAGCGAAGAGAACAATGCTGGTAGGGATGTAAACAAGCCGAGTCAAAACCTTTTTTTTTTTTCTGGCCCGAGCCAAAGCTTGGCCGAAAAAATGGGCCTTTCTGAGTTGAGCTGGCTTTTTTTTCCTTGAAATTCTAATTTTTTTTAAAGGTAGCTATACAGCTGCCTTTACATGCAGGTAGCTGCTTTATTTTTAAGACACGGGCTAAAATGGCATGTGTTGGTGTCATACGGCTTGGTTCGGTTCCAACGAGCCGCGAGTTGAGCCGATTCGAACTTTCGGCTGCTCAAGCCGATGTGCTAGATTGACATATCTAAATGTTTGTTATATTTGTTGATATTTTATTGTTTTCGTTGAGTTGGGTATTAACTACTGCGATGCGGAAAAGGCAAGTGATTAATATATGTCAATCGACATATCGTATTTTCAAAATCACGCTCTAAATGAAATTTAGCAAACATATTTTTGTAATTCATGTTTGCTGTGTAATACTTATAACTGTATTTTGTACATTTATCTAGATCGTTAAATTAAAGTAATTCTTATTGATTTGATGAATTATAGTTTAATTGTGTAACTTGTTTGTTATGTAAAACTTAAGGATGTCAATATGGCTCGGGCGGCCCATGGTTCGGCCCGAAAAAAGCTTGAGTCGGGCCGGCTCATGGCTTGGTAGGACCGAGTCGGGGCTCAGCTCGAGTCGGCCCATGTCAAGCCCATTTTCTGCTTGTGAGCCAAAAAAAAAATTATGAAACTTAAAAAAAATTGAAATAAATAAATAAAAAGCTTATAGCTACTTGCGTTATGCAAGCAGTAGTCAGTTATAGCTAACTGCGTTGCATTCAGCACTTCTTTTTTTTTTTATTTTCTTGTAATTTTTTTATATGTTAATATTTAGTTATTATTTATAATACGTATAAATTGAACAAATTTTAAATGCTTTAAAAAAAATTTTAATTTGTCATGAATTTTTTTAAAAAAAATCAAGTCAGTTTGGCTCGCTAAGGCCCGAGCTGAAAACTCGGCTCGAGCCTAAATTTTTTGGTTGAGTTTTTGCTCGGCTTGGGCCAAAAAAAGCTCGAATCATTTTTACTCGAGCTGGGCCTGAGCAAAAAGTTTCGGCTCGCGGTTCAACTTGGCTCGACTTGTTGACATACAAAATAGTGGAATTGGAAGAAATGAATGAGAAACGGTGAAAAATGAAGAAATTATAAGTTCGAGGATCAAATTGCAAATCAATGGTTGATTCGGATCACAAAACAATTATTGAAGATCATACGGGTGCCATTAGATGCAAATGGAAGATAAGGAACATAAATTGCATAAGGAAAGGATCCAAACATGCCATCGAGAAGTTTAGGGACCAATAAAGAAGAAGATGCTTGTGTGTGCACCAAAAAAGCCCTTGTGCAATATGATGAACCTGAAGCCAAAAAGGTCAAAGGTTGCTTGCGCAAGGTGAACACCCATGCACACACATGGGTTGTCTTGGAGGTAATCGAGTCAGTCTTCTTATTTTGGTCCAACTCGCTATGTTTTCAACTTCTAGCCATTATGTAACCTAATTGAGGTCGTCAAGAATGTACCATATCACAATATAACGAAGAGAAGAAGTCTAGAAAGATGATTCAAGGCAACTAACACGAAAAAATGAAAATTCAAGGCTCATTCAAGATTTAAGAACAAAAAATTGATTTATCAAGATTTTTCTATTGTTCTTACTTTCGGGTGATATATTTTCATATCTTTTTTTAATAATTTACATACAAATACCCTAGGCTAATTTTTCCCTGTATTAGTTGAAGATAAACCCTTTATTTATTTATAATTCAAAGATAACTATAATTAATTTTTGTGTGCTCGTTGCATATTTAAATGCTTGAGCACCATTTAAATAATTGGTTGCTTGTGGTGATGGGAGGTTCACAATAGGTTTAAAACACTGCATGGTTATCACGCATACAATAGACATGTATGACATGTGCAATCTTATTGATAATAGTGTGATTGAATATGTTACATTGTATACGAATTCAAACTAGGAATAAAATCGGATCGTGCTTAGAATATGTTTAATTTACCTCGAAAAAGATAAATAATAACGAATTATTGATCGTCATGAATGCATGAATAATACTAAATTATATAAGTTGAAAATTGAAAATAGATATCAATATCTAGATACATAATCTCCCACAAGCATGAGCCTTTATCAAATTTGTCAATTGCTTATTTTCGACATCTTAAATACTGTATAAACCATAAAAACTTTAACCTACAGAATTTAGTGCATGTAAACAACCAGTGCCCGGCATAATGTATCCTATAACAAAGCTCACAATATATATCTTCTACAAACATCACCATCGTTCATGTTAAGATTAATTATTGTCAAATGTTTGCTGCTTTGTTATCGTCGAAATGATGCATATATGGTTGAATAGTACCTGAAAGAACACAAAACACGAGATATCAAGGTGGATAGCCAAAATTAACAAAAAAGAAAAAAATTGAATCTAATACGAATCAATAAATTCAGTTTAAAAACATTATTCACATGCAACGGTACCAAAAACTTGTTCATATAAATTCCGCAAGCGTACGAGATCTTTGACAAGTAATAATGTGATAAGTTAAGAATATAGTCCCATGATGAATAAACTTTAAATTAAATTTTAATAATCCATTATTGAATTCGAATGTACGTGACACAAAATAGATTTATTGATTATTTCTAAATTAATCTATTAATTAACAAAGATGATTTTAAACTAAATATGATATGTGTCTGTTATAATTCCGAATCTGCCTATACTATCCTAATTCCATTTTTCAACTATGTAATTTAGTTTTATTCATACATTTTTTACAATCGATAATCCAATTGTATTTAACTTTCTTTTTCAAATGAATAATATTATTCATCCACAGTGGGGATGAAAACACAGTTTATGTGATTTTAAATGATAGGTTAAATAAAAGGTGAAATTAAATGACTTATTTAATTTCACGTATCATTTAATGCCACATTGACGCCACATAAACTGTGTGTTCATCCCCAGTGGGGATGAATAGCATTACTCTTTTCAAATACATTTATCATGGGCTAATTTCTCCTTTGTATTGGATAAAGATGAATTCTTTGTTTATTTAAAAACAAGTAGTTCAATTAATTCTTATGTTTCTTGATTAATTTTACGTGCTCGTTGAATTATTTAAATGTTTGTGTATCATTTAGATAATCAGTTGTTTGTTGTATTATTGGGAAACTAACACTAGGTTTAGAATATTGCAGGGTTATCACTCTGGCAAGAGATGTTAGGAATATCATGTATGACGTGTGCAATCTTATTGATAATCATGTGATTGAATGTATTACTTTGATAATCGTATGATTGAATGCATTACTTTGCATTTGACACAAGTATTATAGAGTTAATTGTTGGAAATTAAATATTTTTTTAAATGATTTTAAACTTAACGATACATCCTTGACTTTATGTCTTTTCTATTTAGCCCGTGTTTGAGCCCTGTTTTTTTTTCCATCGAAATGTATTCTTGAACAGTGATTGACATCATTTCAATCACATTCTTCAATAAAATAATATTACATGCAAATTCAATTTTTTTTTTATTTTTTAACCACACATGATCTATCCTAACACTGTTGCAAAATGTTTTTTTTTTTTTTTTGAAAAGAAATGGAGCTTAAACAACCCCTTAGTCACTAATTCAAATTTTATTTTAAAATACATAAACAGTAATTATATTTATTAATTTATATATTTAATTAATTATTTTTTACTTTCGGTCCGATTCGATGTGGTTGAACCTTATGTTTTCTGGATTGATTTTAAAAACATTAAACTTATCTCAGAAAAGATAATTAAATAATAAATAATGATCTATTGTCATTAATGCATGAATAACACTAAACTGTCAGTTGAAAATTGAAAACAGATACCAATAGGTGGATTTGAAAATCCAATACACTTATTCCATAGCTACATACAAACCAAGTTTTTATATAATTCGTAGAATAACTTAAAATAATTACAAAATAATCTCGTATATCACAATAATTCGAATTTGATAGAAAATTAGTATATTTGAATTAGAGTTTATTCCTCGTGGGACGATACTCTTTACTCATCACATTATTACTTGTCAATAATTTCATACACTTACAAGTTTCGCAGGAACATATACTCAACACTTGATAGTAGTGTGCTTATTTATTACGACTGCGGTACTCGTACATGGGGCGTTGACAATATTTTTAATAGGGTGACGTGGCGTTATTTGAAAGTTAAAAAAATAAATAAATTGAAATCCTAAAAAGACGAATGAACACATTTCTCACCCATTTTCCCCCATATTCTACCCTAGAAACACGCCTGTTTTGCCGACCAACAATCTTCAAAACCTCCAGCCTGCATCACCCCGTTGAAGAAGAAATGAACCCCAATCTATTTACCCCTAAAACAAAGAACGGGTTTTGAAAACATCTTTGTTACGATTGGTCCGAATTTGTAGATCGATGAACAAGTAGTGAGCTGCGAACTTCCGGCAATTGTGAAGTGGAAACCAGATAACGCGTCACTTGAAAGTAAGCAAATGTTGTGGTTGTTGCTATATTTTGCATGTCTGCGATTTT